TTTGTAACTCTGTATTGTCTGTATTGTGCTTGTGATATGTTGTAAAATGTTGTATGTCTGTTAATGTTTCCCTCCTTTTATCTTTAAAATAAAATAAAAAAAATCGTAATGGCTGTAAGAAAATAAACCTTTTTTCTCAAAGGATGCATAATTATTATTGGTTTATTATTATTGAGTTATTATCAACAATGAAATTTCTCCAAAGATTTCATAAGGAAAATATGTGAGGGAAACTAACAATATCTTGAGTAATATCCTTTCAAAACAAACATCAATGAATTACAGAGGACTGTTTCTTACTATCTTCTCTTAGTACAGATGAAAGGCATCATAAAACAAAGACTCACTCAGTAAAGAATACCCCACAGGGCATCAAAACTATTTAATATAGTTGCATTCGTTGTTTTCTGCTCATGTGGATTAGCCCAGTTTAATGCATCTAGAGAAGCAAACAAGCTGCACATCCTCCAGGTAATTGTATATAGTACTTCAGCTAAGCTTCTGAAAGATAGATACTGGGAGGGATTGGGTTTTAAATGACAAGTGTTGTGCCAAGTATAACTTGTACTGCCAATTAAAAGTGAATCTAACTTCTGTTGAGAGGTAAGTCAAAGGAATACTCTTTTTTTAAAAATTTAATTTAATTTTAAAGAGAGTAGTAAAAAAAAAAAAAGAACAATAGCAACATACCAACATCACAGACATAAACAAAACAAAGCAAGAACATTAAAAGTGATACAGGGTTTCAAAACAAAATGATAGGAAGTAACAGTGGTTGTTATATTACATATTATTATCTTCAACTATGTTGCTCAGATTATCAGATGTAAGAATGGAAGATTATTCAAACCATTAAAGAGAATAAAAAATTATTAAATAAAACATTAGAGATAATACAGAGTTTCACTAGACAAGATGGCAGGAATTCACCAATGGCTGTTCCACTGCATATTGTCTTCAAATCAGTTGCTCACATTAGCAGATATAAGCATGCAAAACTGGTCAAAATATAAAAAATTTTAAGTGTTAACTGTTCCTTTCAATACACCATCAGGGGGGCTGGGGATTTAGCTCAGCGGCAAAGCGCCTGCCTGGCAAGCGCAAGGTCGTGAGTTCGGTTCCTGGTACCGGAGAAAAACCAAAAAA